TAGACCTAACCAATGGGTACCCGGGGGCCCTTTTACCGGAGGTAAAGCGGACGGGGCGCGAAGCTCACTACTCATCTCCATCTAGTACTGAGGTCAAGAGTGGTGACTTCCATTCTTTCAGACATCTTCATGGCGTGGAGCTCAGTTAATTAAGCGTGGGAACAAATGTACCTTTACCTTACCTTAGGGTAAGGGTGCCCATAAATTACTGAAAGCATTAGAGCCATGTAGGAGTTGAGGTTCTCACAGCGGTGGTTACGAAGAAGCCTTGTCGCCTGGGATATAGTCAACCGGTGTTTTGGAGGAACATACTGTTTCCAATTTCATGGCAGAAAAGTAAGCCAAGCAGATAGCGCCGAATGTTGTGGCAAGTGGACCGCTGTTCTTGCTTCGTACAGGCTTGTTGCTTACGTCACGCAGTGCTGCCCCTGCAGAGCATGCCCATCGCATTACATAAAACACTACAGCCATTACCTGGCCATGGGATGATCACACAACACATCAATAACCCGGCAATTCTGCAATGCGTCTTTCGAAGAAGCAAAATATATTGTCGCGTGTGTCCTAGGCAACGCGACAAGAAACTGTGTGGGTCTCGGATTGTGCGGTCGCTCTTTACACTCACAAATACAATTATTGGCACTTAGAGCGTCTTCGGACGTTTCCCCTTCAGCGTTACACACTCTCGCACGGCTACTCTCGTTGCTCGGAGCTGAACTGTCCTAGCTCCAAGTCGAAGTCTAAGTCACATTGCGACTGACGTTCAGTCAGTCAGTGAGTCTTGGTGTCGAGCCCCACGAATTGTTATATCCTACACTCGGACTGAATAGGGAACACCTTGTCGAAGGGCTTCGTTCCGCCTGCTGCTATGCAACGACTCTCTTGTTGCATTTTTACTGCCTCAAATAATTCGTTACAAACACCAGCGGTAGCGTAGCTACTGGCAGGGCTTACCTTGCTGGACAAGTCAAAGGGCAGGCATCAGACGAAGAGACACACCAAAAACCAAAAACTGATGCCGGAAGCAGCGTCATCAGCAGCGACTTGAAGCACAGAGTAAATGATGCTCGAGATGGTTCAAGTTCGTATAGCAACAGGCGTGACCAGAGTGGTTTGAACGGCTGTTGTACTGCGATGTGGAAAGCAAATGGAAAAACTACCACATTATCACTTTTCCTGGATAGTCTCTTTCCAAAAACAGAAGCTCGCATTAAGTGGAGGAACTGTTTTGGAAGAGACTGTGGATCTGTCGTCTGACAGATTACTGATGAATGAATGAATGAAAGAATGAACTGTGGAAACCCCATTGTTAGACTTTCATACACGGGGCCTAGGAATTGCTAGCCGTTGACCAGTGATGGACGTCTTATCGTTCGGCCTTCCTGGCGGCACGTCACAATATGCTAAAAAGAGGCAAAGACATCCCTGTAACAGGCCGTGGAGGCCCATAGGGTTGTTAGACGTCGAGGCTCCCACATTTTCTAGAAAATCGGCTCAGAGTTGGCGGTGAGGTTGTCAGCCTTACGCGCTGGCCGGCCGCCCTTTACACCCAAGGAAGATTCTGGTACTCATTTCTGTTAGAGGCTGAGTCGAACGCAGGACCATAGTGCGGCTGGAAGGAAAATATTAAAATCCGACCGTGTGCAGTAACGCCCCTGTTCACCTTTCCTATGCTAATAACGAGATCCTTCTCAGCGCGTCACCCTTCTCCAACTTAGTTCACCAGAAGGACGAGCGGGCACTGCCTGGGAACGTTACAAGCAGGAAAATGCAGTGTCTCACACTTCACGCTTCAAAGTGTTAAGCTTTTCGGGAGTCTGTGTACCCACGCCGTGTGTGCGCTAGAAGCGACATCAGAGGAAAGGTATACTCCGATGGAGTACACAAATGTTTAACAAATGGATTCGTTGCTTCAAGCTATTGCGAGTAAAGCACATTTGTAGCACTTTATGGCCGCAAGTGCCTGGAATCAGCGTTACTTGGCCCAGTCCTGAGTCAGACGAGTCCAATCCACACCATCACACCAGTTTTTCAAATTGATTTGCGTGTTATACTCCCATCTACTCCTATATCTCGTAAATGGTCTCTTTCCTTTAGGTTTACTGACGAAAATTTAGTATGCATCATTCATTTCTCCCTACCCCCTTCCCGTCCTTGGTTTCATTATTCTAACAGTGCCTGAGGAGGGGCACACATTATGCAATTACGCGCAATTCCAGCGCCCTTCAGTTCCGCCTGCTGTGTCCGTGTGAGCTGGAGTGTAAGCAAACATAAGACAAATAAATACGCGCTTACACGTTGCTCTCGCTCTGTGCTGGGGGCACTGGATCCTGATTTGGAGACTTTCCGGCTTCAATAACGTCATCCTTGGCAGGATCCACGTAAAAACAAAAGCGTGAAAATCATCGCACTAAACAATTTGTCCCTCACATCAACATCAGCTTCACGAGTGTTCCACAGCGGTCCGCATTGTGCTCTTCTGGGCTGTCCCTGTTCTTAAATAATGAAGCAGCTCGCCATGAACGCGCGCTGGGGAGTGAAGTGAGAGTTCCCCCACTCATGACCTCGGCACTGGATGGAGGTGAGCGGTCAGCTCGACGCCAGGGGAAAGAGTCCCCGGCACCCACTGGACTCCTCCTGGCTAGGCCCCAGAGCGGGTCTGGACCGTCTGGACGCTGTGCAGCGGAGACAATTTCTTGCCTCGGCCGTCCAGCCCCAAGCCCGTTGCCCCTCTCTTCGGGGAGAAGCCTTGTTAAATTAAATACCACGCATCGCAGTCAAGCGAATAAAGAATATTAGCCCCAAGAATCAGCACCGCTAAGAGCAAAAGCCGTGGGTTAACACGTGCACCTCCCATGCTGACAAGCCACATACGTAATGTTGTCCTTCCGTCTCTTGCGCGGTCTTCGGAAATATTCCCGCTGAATTCCTACGCAATTTATTTCTCTTATCATAGCGCGTCATAAATTACCGAAGTCTATTATTCTCAATAATAAACAGACCAAGCTTCCATCCTCTCGGACTTACATGTCTGCATGTGCGTAAAAGTAAGAAAGAATGGCTAAAGTTAGCGTTCTGGGACGTCGAGGTTCCCACATTTTCTAGACAATAGGCTTATAGATGGCCGTGAAGTTGCCGCCTGCCCCTTACCCTCAGGAAGGTTCCTGGTACTCATTTCTGTTAGAGGCTAAATCGAACCCAGGGCCATAGTGCGGCTGGAAGGACTAGGTCAATTGAAAAATCCAATGGACTCATCTGGAATCAAACCCACGACCTTCCGACTCGTATCATAGTGCTGCAAGCAACTGCGCTACCGCGTGCCCCACACGTATGTAAATGTATTCTTAATTACATTCTAACTGAGCGCGCTGCTGAAACACTAATTTTACTACTCCCTTTCACACGTATCCGAGTCTCCCTACTTGACGCATTCGACTCTTGTCGTGTTGTGAACGGTACGCGCCTTTTCCTGTCTCTGCCTTGCCATGTCCGGCTGTCTGCATGCAACAAACATATTTCCATTAAATTTGATATTGGCACTAAAATTTATTGACATCCCAGTGAGGGTTAAAACCAGACAGCAATAAGGGGCACGTGACGTGAAAACTAACGGGCGTTTCTGCGCGCATGTCGAGCGTAACTCACTCAGTTCAGTGTCTGTCGGAGCAAAGAATGCTTGGATAAAGGCGGCAGAGAAGTGATTAAACAAAGGCCATTTTTGTCGCGCTATGCGTAAATTGCCCAGCTCATGTATGTATATACGAGTATATGTAATGCCTCTACACACACAAATGCTTTATGTAGAAAATAAAAAAAAAAACTTCTGGAATTAATTTGAAAATTGGTGTGTTTGCTCACCGCGGTTTCGTTCCACCATGCATATATATATATATATGTTCAAACATTCGCTCTCCAACAGAACATTTCTGTCTGCAATAAATAAAGATCAAAGACAAGCCGACATACAAAACGGCAAAGAGCGACTTTGGAGAACACTGGCCTATGTCCCGTATAAAGGTATTGCTCGCTTGTTATTACCACTGTCCTACATCAGGCGGACAGCGTTCCGAACGACAGGCCTTCATTTGGAAAGAGGCTGCTGTCACCTCGGAACCTGCGACTTAAAGCTTTCTCGAAAACGGATAAAACGTGAGTTGGTTTGCACTACAACACGAGATGTATAAGCTTATATTTTGTCATAGTATTACTTTTCTCATTAGAAAGTCAACAACTGGGCATCAGAGAACATAGAATTGCACATTTAAATGTTTAAAGAACATTAAGTACTATGTTTCGAATCATTATAGCATTACGATCTTCGAGCCTTAAATCTGAAAATTCGGAAGACGCTGAATTAACAGAACCTACGTTGCGAAATTTGGGGATTCAGAGATCGAGACATGGCTGTTCACATCTTCGTACAGATCAAGTATCTTCGTGGTTTCCACAGTGTCTCCAGACACGGCAACGACCGCCTCCTTCCTAATCCACTCTTTCATTCTATACTGCATAGTGTAAGCTACAATCCCCCCGCCTCCGAAGAGATATAACACACGGCGACACTCGGCACTGGCGAATACGGAAGCAGTTAGAATTCTCAGATCTACAGGACTCCAGCAGCTGCTCTTATAGCCAGTTTATACACAGTAAAACCTTCAGAGGACGTTTACGGCTGACTGAATTCCAAATCGCTTTAACAGTCGGGTGTGACTTGACGTCAGAAATATGCACTGACATCTGACCGGTGTTTTCAGTTGTCTGATATCCATCCACCCATCAACATTATACGAGTACATATATAATATTAACTGAAAATGAAATCAAAGCGTATTTCTCACAAGGCGAGCTGCGTCTCTAAGACACTTTACAACTTCTATTGAAACCGCTCACCTGTTGCTGGAGTGCTGCCCCTGCCGTGTCCGCACCCCTCACAAGCATGACCGCGGACAGCAACAAGCATAGCAGCTCCGCTCCTCGGGTTGCAGCTGGAAGCATCGTTCAGCCGTTGTTGGTCTAACCCTCTACACTGCCGCTCGCGTCTTATAAAGCGACGGGCAGGTGGGCGTGTGCTCGCCGCCAAACGAGGTGCGCCCGCGCACGGCGTCGGTTTCACTTTTCCAATCTTCAAACCCTCCGATACCTCGAATTCCATCCAAAAACATTTAAATATTAATTTCGTAAGGCTGTCATGTTGCTCTTAGGCCTCTTATGATATTAAATTAAAACTAATAGAACTACTTGCATCTGGTGGCATTTCATATGAAGTTTCATCAGAGTATCTCAACTGTGTGTACAAAGATCAGCGATGCGGAAGAAACCTATAATTTAATTCAGGACTATCAAAAGTAAGCGCGGGACATGAAACATTGAGCTCCATAATGTCTCAACTGTATGCAAAGTGAGTGCCTTCAGTCAGCCAAAAGTTCATTTGTAAACAATTTAACACTTATCAAGAGTTACCTCCCTTATGAGGAAATTTCTTTTAGGTTTATGAAGTTGAACTGAGCTAGACAGACAGCAAGAAGTTCCAGAACCGTCCTGTTCTGTGACTTCCTGCATCAAGCGGAAAGGATGGCTCTCCAGGGAACTGCCTGCCAATTGATGAAAACCTTTCCACTTCACAGCATTCTTTATGGGGGGGGGGGNGTTTAAAAAGTTCTGTGCAAATATTTAGCACTTGTCATGTCATGAGCTTTAGCGGGCATCGCTGTTATGCTAACAGAATAATTATCCCATTTGTTGTATTTTTTCTTCCGACCAAAAAAAAAAAGCATTCGTATAGACTTAATACGGTAACATTTGTAGCAGGAGTATGGACCTTCGATACTGTGAAAAATGAGAATGAAAGTTCTGTTTCTGAGCTGTTAGCCCGACAAAATCAGCGCGGTTTATGAAAAAATAAAATATGTAACAAACTTATTATTGCAGATGGCACTAAAAATATTACAAATATATATGTAGCCATGAACTATATATTTATTTATATATTATACTACCGTCTACCTTCATTTATTTAAGGACCTGTCAGTACCTCAGAATACTCGTACACAGCGCGGAATGACGTAGCGAATTGCAAAGCTGTGGAAAGATGCGGTCGTGGCATAGCTTGCCCGTTATTTACCAGGATGATCGGAAGAAAGCCAATTTCTAACACACAATGACACACAGTGTCGGCACGAGGGCCGTCAGACCGCACGAAAGTGGGCAGCCCCGCGGATTCACAAAGATAATCTAAAACAAAAGTTTTGAATTACTGCATTTTAATGGACCACAGGAGCTGCCAATGGGC